CATGAGCTGCCGCACCAGGTGGTGCCGCCCAGACTGCCGCGTGGAGGACACCTGCCTGCCCCCCTGCTGCGTGGTGAGCTGCACTCCCCCAACCTGCTGCCAGTTGCACCATGCTCAGGCCTCCTGCTGCCGCCCATCCTACTGTGGACAGTCCTGCTGCCGTCCTGCCTGCTGCTGCTACTGCTGCCAGCCCACCTGTTAAAAGTCAGGTCACTTAAGAATGAAAGGAAAACACAGAAAAGCTATGCTGCTCTCTGAAGAAGTATTTCATTTTACTTGGATGCAAAATATCATGATGTTGCTAAGTCCCTCAGAAACAACAAAACTCTGTTTGGGCTCCCATGGATGTGCTGAATTAGCTCACTGAAAACATCAGTCAATGTTCTAGATATCCTACCTTGTTTGAGCGAAGTGCCAGGATGGGGTAGTTTTTCATTTCGTTGACTTCTCTGCTCACCACCTTATCTGTTGATCCATATACATCTCCAGAATTGCTTTTTCTTTGAATACCCCTTGTTAACTTCAAATAAAATGTCTGAATGTGCAAAACAAACTGAATTATGTTCTCCTTCTACCTTCAAGCACATCTAGCTGGAATTCAAGAAGAGTGGATTTTCATGTTTGTAATAATCCTAAAGCATGAACATAAACTTTAAATCAAAAAGATCAAATAAAATTAAATCATGCTTCATGGAACCAACCTCAATGTCCACAAACTAATGAATGGATTGGTAAAGTGTGGCATATATACTCTATAAAATACTACTCAGCCAGAAAAAATAACAAAACCCTGGCATTTGATAGAAAGTGGTCATATATGGAGAATCTATTGCTGAGTGAAGTAAGTCAGGCTATTAAAGAAAGAAATTGTATGTATCCACTTAACATATACCGACTATCTGCACTCTATGGTAGAGGGCAAGATATTGGAGGACATAAAAGCAGTGAAAATACTTAACAAGAATAAGACAGTGTGGAATGGGGAGAGAGTTGAAGAGAAGAGGATAGAGAAAGATAGCAAGAGAACAAATAGAGAGGCAGGAGGTTAGTGAGAAACAGATATGGCTTATTACTTGTTGAGGGTGACATGTATAGTACTCTCAACTGGATTGGTCTGAGAAGTATTTTATGATGGGTAAAGTCTTTTTTTTTTTTTTTTGAGAGATTTTCACTGTAGGGCGCGTGCGCTCGCCAGACAGACAGAGAGAGACATAGAGACAGAAAGCGAGAAATCACACCCCAG